GGGGGGTGGTGTGGGGGGGGGGTGTGTGGGGGGGGGGGGGGGTAAGATTTCATACTCTGGGCACCATGGGGCCGGAGGGGGAGGATGTGGGTGCTTGCAGCCCTGTTTCGGGGGAGCTGGCAGTCATCAGGAGTGCCTTGGTGTAGGCGGCACTGGTGGTGACAGCACGACGCTGGGCTGACTTTGTGCCCAGCAGTCCACCGGTTGCCCTGGTCCCAGCAGTCACCCTATGCCCTCCTCTCCCTCCCCTTCCATGGGTGACCTGCAGGATTAAGGCTCCGGGCTGTCATCTAGAGTCACCGTTTCACGGCACGTTTCACGGCACGGCGCTGAATTTTTCCTTTGGAGACAAAGTCCCCTGAAAGGTCTTGCCAGAGACTGAGCAGCACAGGGAAAAGACAAATCCCTCCTGTTTGAGACATGCGGGTATGGGAGGGAATTGTTTATCCGTGAAAGCACCAATTTCCTCCCGACAATGCCTATTTGCTGCGATGCCGCAAATAGTGTAAACCAGCCCAAATTTCAGAGGGGGGAAGGGCCCCGGCAGTGGATTTATCAGGCCACAGATTGTCTCCTGAGAGGGAAGAGCACGCGGAACTCGAGTTCTCCGGAGATCCTGCGGCACTAAGAGCAGCCCCGCGTGCTGCCTCCCTGCCCGGCGCAGCCCGCCATGTGCTCCGCCGCTTCCACAGGCCCCGATTGTGTCCCGGCTAATCCCCACACACCATTTGCAGCCTAGTGCCTTCTTCAGTTACACTGCGGGGCTGGCGGGGCCGTGGGCAGGAGGTGAAATGGTGGCCCCCAGCAGCTGGGGGACCTCAAGGGAAAGGAGCAAGGGGGGGAGGAGAGGGGCTGCACTCTGGTGTCAGCATTCAGCCGCAGTGACCCTCCCCACCGGGGGACAGAAACGCTGTGCTAGACCTCACCGTGAGAGGGAATAGCCTTGGGGAGCTGAGACCCCCCCTCCATGGGGCTGGCGTTGCCCAAGGGTCCCAAGCCCTGGCTCCCAGAGCCGAGCCCCACGCTCTTGAGACTGTCCTGCCTCCCCCCTGCCCCGCAGAAGCCCTGGGTGCGGGTGGTCCCCTCTCTGCCTGGGACGGCAGGTACCCCTCTGCCAGTCTGGGAGCTGGGAGAAAGGAGTCTCACCCCAGCAAAGAAACTGGCGGGGGCAAAGCCAGGCAAGGAGGTCCAGCAGACAGGACTGCCGTGCCCTGCCGTCAGGGAGTCTCCTCGTCTCCCACGGCTCAACCCGGGTGCCCGTCCCCACACGGGCATCCGCAGGTTAGTCGGGTGCACGCCGCGCGGTCTGTGCCGTGCAAACGCGGGGCCACTTGTGCAGGGAGCGTGCACGGCTGGAGGGGTTGGGCGCGTGCCTGGGTGTGCACCCCGGCCTGTGGCTGTCCCTCTTCCTAAAGCGCTGCCTGTCGCCCTTCCTGCCCACGCAGGCACAAAAACCCTCCCTGCTTGCCCCAGGGCTTTGGTTGTTCCTCTGCATCCCGCGCAGGATGATGGATGCCCCGGCAGCTGCAGGGAGAGACAGCTGTCGTCCTTCTCCAACCA